CCATGAAAATAACGTTTAACAAGTAAGATAACCACTGTCCAAAACCATTCCAAATTTAATTCCGCCGCTTGATTCTTCTATTCTTCAATTTAAATTGAAGTTTTTTGAGTTTTTATAGGCAGTCTCTTTTTTAAAAACAATAAAAATTCATCACCAGCTGGAAACACTTTCTCTTTCCGTATCCTTCCGTTTTGGAGCCGCCCCGACTTTGTCAGCCTTGGCTGAATTTTTTTTCACCGGCTTGAAGAACTTCTCTTGCTTCTTTCGAGGAGTTTGCGATATTCCCGAGATCAGCAAGACGTATTCTTCCTGTTCACTGTCTCTTCGAGACAGTTTAGGTCCATTTGAACCACCCAGTGGCAAAACTGTTGGCTGTGGTCTCAGAGCATTAAGACCACACAACCATCTCGTCGCGACCTTGGCTCCTCCTCAGGTTTTCTCCTTTGTTTTTCATTGCTATATTACCTTTATTAGATAGCTGAAGACTGAAACTAATTGTTCCCAAAGCAAAAATTTCTTTTAATTTCCTTATGCTGATCATTTACTGTAATTAGAGGGTGTACCTTACTATTATACTTTATAGTGTGTTGAAGTAACTTGTAAAAGTCTAACTAAGTTTTGAATTGTTTAGGACTAAAACAGACTGTCTCTTTTTTAATATTCTTGTAGGAGGTTGAAAAAAGGAGGCGAATAGAAGAAGCATACAAAAATGCAATGACAGAACTTAAAAAAAAATCTCATTTTGGAGGACCAGATTATGAGGTATGCATTTATCTTCAGGTTTTCTGTTTTAAAGTCAAGCTTGGTCTTATACACTACCATTAAAGGTAGATTCAAACAGGTACTTAAATGTTAAGCAACAGAAGTCCATTATTATATTAGTTTGTTCATGATTTATCTTAGGTTAAGAATACCCAGAAACAAGAGTTGAGGACACAATGAAAAAGCAATAAGAGCCCCCAGTGCTCTCATTGTTGTGTTCTCTGTATTAAATATTGTATATCTAAAACATATACAGCTCTTCCAAATTATCAATCCTGCTTATAAGAAAGTTTAGAAAAGCAATATATTCTACCTTTCAGTTTTGTAATCACTATGAACAACTTCAATAAGATCAAATATGAAATTATGTAAAGGAGTATTATAAATGATGAATACCATTACATTTAGCTCTGTAACTCCAAAAATACTCTTGTCCTTCTAGATCAGACTAACCCCACTCATACTATCAGAGTGGGCTTAGTACTGATTCCCCCAGTAAAAAAAAAAAATTAGCTGTTGAGATCCAGAAGAAGAGCTTTTCTGCCACAGCATCTGCCCTTTGGAACAGTCTCTCCTCCCCCTNGCAATGCACTTCTCCAAGTGTCTCTACGAATCAGGGTTACAGAAGTCAAATCACTTTTCCAAGTGTATATCCAAGAAACCACGATCAAGGATCAAGGAACGTTGACTCCTGCAACTAGGGCAACTAGGGCGTGGCACCATCTGTCCTTTTATCCCCAGAATATCCCCTAATGAGCCCCAGCTGCATAATTAAGCTTACATCCCGAAAAGACTCACAGAAGACTGGTGCTAAGTCACAACAGTTACCTAATAGCTTCAGAGGTCTGGAACCTTTTCAACCAGGATTCAGATCTGGGTATGGGATGAAAATGGCATAAATTCTCGTTTTGGATGACCTCTGCCATGGATGGAATGGGATAGTGAATCCATCCTTCCCCTACTTGACTTAGCAGCAGCTTTTGATACCATCAACTATAGTGTCCTTCTGGATCAGCTCAGAGGGGTAGGATGGCATGGTGGTGTGCTGAATTGCCTTCTTCCTTCAAGATCAATTCCTGTTTGTGATGATTGGGCATTTTATTTTCAGTGGAAAATTGAAATCATATAGCAAATAAAGTCATGAAATGAAATCATCATACTAATAAGGGATATGATTAAAGATCCCCTTAGCTTTATTGCTTAACTGGTGTTTCACAGTACCACTCATCCCTTCCCCACCTATTCGTTAGTAAGGTGAATTATAACTATTCTAGCATTTTAATTTTTAATAATATTAATTTCCTACTTGATGTATACAAAACATATACATGTATGAATATCTGGAAAGATACATAGAATTTATATTTTGCTTGGATATTGATTTAGTAAAATGTTTTCATGGTTTACTATTACAAAAGTGCTAGCTAGCTAACATTTGACATAAAATTATTTCTCTGCTATCTTCTGATTCTATGCTATGCACATTAGTAATTGATTTATTTCTTTGTTGTAGTGGTAGAAGATGATGAAGATGATTTTCCTACAACACGTTCAGATGGGGAGTTTTTGCATAATACTAATGGAAGTAAAGAAAAATGTAGGTATACTTAAATACATTATAATATAAATGCTCTGGTGAATTAATGATCCTTTGAGCACTTCATGAAGTACATCATGAAGTAATTTAGCATTGTATGCTAAACATACCAACAAACAGAATCATATATATTTTAATTAAATATGTATTTTATTTTAATTGCTCAGAAGATATGCAATGTACTAATTTACATTTTATAATTTTAAGACATTTTACTTAAAATTATAAAGCTTTAAAAGAAATTAACATTTCTATAGCGACTTACAATGCTATCTAATGTTTACCAAATAATTGTTATTGAATTAAATAGACTTACTCATAAGCAAAATTATATAGGATCGAACCATATATTACATTTAACTAATACAGTTACTGAAACTATTTAGCAGTTTTATAAAACCAATTAATAACCTTGTTCTTGCTAATTTCAGGGTAGTTTTATTCAGTCTTTTTTCTCCTGTTATATACATTCTTATAAGTTTAGGAACGAGTCTTGTTTAAGAAAAAGCCTAAGTATTAATTCCTTTCAAAGTATAATACTTTTGAAATTTGATTTCAGTGATGCTGATGCTCCCATAAATAAAACAATAGAACTTAAGGCTTGGCAGTCGATGTTGGAACAGAAGTAGAATGCTTGATACTCTACGGCTGTAACTACATTGTCTTTATATTCAGAAACATTTCTGATTGGTGATGCCTTAGCTGTTTCTGCTGTTGATAAGTATTCACCTGAGGCATTGTCACTCATGCTATGCTTACATCATATTAGATTATTGTAATGTGGTTTCTACCTTGACAACTGCCTAGAAACAAGACACAAATAATCAGGGGCACTTTGTGAAGTTATTGACCAGTATCTGTTAAATGAGCCTAGTTGGTTTCAGAATGCTATTCAGATATTTGCGCTTTTTTTCCCATTTCCCTATAGAGAGATGTTCTACCTATATTAGTGACACAAATTTTATGGTTACCAAATATAAGATCTTACTAGAGGTGATCTATCTTAAATATAATATTTTTCTCACAGAGCTGTTTGCCTGATACCCTTTCTCCCTCTTCAGAGCATAAGCCAGAATTTTGTTTCAACAAGTTTATAAGACTAACAAGAGACAGAAGACTGCATTTTGATTCTGTTAATTTTCAGCTTTGATTATGCTATTAATCTAGGTAATTTCTAGTAATGATATATTTGACCTACATATATTATTTTATATTAACAGCCTTCAGGATAAAACTGTTTTTAATAATACCGTAAGAGCATAGTACTGCCACTGTATATGGAAAACCTGCAGTATACTTCATATATTTTATGCACTTATTATTCTACTTTCTTAATATGCTTTGAAGTTCATTAGATATATTTTTTTCTGGCCTTCAGGAGTGTTTTAATTATTAAGTGCATTTTGTTTTTATTAACAAACTATCTTTTAACTTTTATCTTATCTTATTTGTTATGCTAAAATATTTTGTATTTTCAAGTTGTAATCCAAGTTGAATAACTCTATTATGCATAGTTATTGCCATAACAATTTACTTAAAATGAAATTTATTTTAAAATGTAGATTTTTGGATTTTTTCCCATACAGTCAGTCATGTTTTTCTATGTCTTTTTTTTCTTGTCAAATAGGAAATGGAAAACATACGGTGATATTGAGTTGTGATGGGCTTGACTCATTAGTTAGATTATACAAACAAATGTATATTTTATTTAAAAAACATCTGACAGGATATATACATAGATGTTTTAGGTGTAACGATAGCATATAGTGATCTTACCTGATTAAATCCCAACTCTTAGCAAATGGAGAGGCCCAGTCTTAATATGACATCTAACATCATTTGAATGATACATTTTCCCATCCTTAATATATATCGATTTATTTTTGTAACATTCTATCTCATATACTTTTAAATAGATCATTTATTCAAACAAGCTTAGCAACAGATGGCTGTTGCAGTGAAATATTGAAATCAGCTGTAGCTATGGAACATTCATCTGTTTAGATATATTATAATGTCCTTCCATTTTTTTAGGACATTATTACCATGCCCTGGTTATTTTTCAAATGCTTTTATAGTTCATTATTAGATTCAAATTCATGTTAATTATTGGTTTTAAGTGCTGCCTCTGCTAACTTTTAAGGTGGTTCTGTTTTAATTAAATTGCACTTCAAGCTGTCAAACTACAATTGTTACAAGAATATTAACACTTCTGCCACCCACACATTTTTTCAAAGTAGAGTTAAAGCACTGAGAAACAGAATACACAGGAATATAGTTGGAAGAAGGCAATTTCTCCTACTGAGTTTTCCCTGTAGTCTCCAAATGAACTTTAATTGCCAAATGTTTTTTGCTGTGCATAGGCACACAGCTACATTCAGAATTTTTTCAGGTAACATTCATTTGAGTAATCAAGGTTTGTACTGATATATCTATAATCTGTTTTTTAGTGTTTCCACATGTTACACCCAAGGGAATAAATGGTATAGATTTTAAAGGTGAAGCTATAACTTTCAAAGCAACAACAGCTGGAATCCTTGCTACACTTTCCCATTGTATTGACTTAATGGTAAAACGTGAGGAGAGTTGGCAGAAAAGGTTGGATAAGGTAAGACTCTTAACTTGTGCAAGGATTAAACTATTTTTTTAAAAAAAAATTCAGATGTATTGACCTGTATGTACATTAAGTTATGTATGATTCATTATAGGCCTCACTGTCTTTGGTTTTTTTAGGCAGTTTACTTTAGGAAATGTTAAATACTGAGACTTTATAAGGTATGAATAAATTGTTCTGAAAGACTTTGAAGAGTTAGTATGTGTGTGTGTTTGTGTGCGTGTGTGTGTATTCTTTTATTTAAACAAAGTAAGCTTCACTTATTCAACATCAAACCATTGGAAAGATATCACCTCTCTACCCTTTAATAATTGGAATAAAATTATTATATCTTGTGAACATTTTCATTTATTGACTTATTTCCAAAATAAGTTAATAAATTGATGACCTCTAGCTTGCAAATACAATTGTATTATATATTTAGTTATAAGATTTCGAAGAATATATTACTTTGAAATTTGAATAATTGAAAAAGTAGAGTTGAAGGAATTCCATAATATTAGATTGAATAAAAACAGCATTTATGTTAGGAAACAACAAGCCAATAGGAAAAAGGTCTCAAGTGAGGAATTAGCTTTGAATCCTTATGTAGCCGCAAGAGATCCAGAACTGATTCTACCCTAAACTCCATAGAACCTTATCTATTACCAAGTGAAGGCAAGCAGTCTGGGGATATTCTTGTATAATACATAGAATATAATAAAGTAGTTAACTCATAATACAATAGCAGAGTTGGAAGGGACCTCTCATTGTAACTTGGTAACTTTTAAAATAATAAATGATAATTTGGACCCTCTCCAGTTGATGGTTTCTGTTGAGGGCAAGGGCAATCACTGAATACCTTACAACAGGCAGTAAACATATAACATTTCTTTAGGTTTTCTCCTTTGTTTTTCTTTTTAAAAAAAATAGAATTTATTTTTATTTTCAAAACAAACACAACACATAAAATCTTCCTTCTTTACA